GTCTTGACGACGTGAGCTCGCCGTTATACTACTACTATTGAAATTGGTTTCTGTGCGGCCACTCAGTGTCGGTAGGCCGGGAAATCACTTTGGAAGGTCGCAAGACTTGTATTAAACGAAATATAAGGAAGAAGCCATGTAATTACTGCTCGTAATTGCGAATCTATTTGCATTAGGTTGCAGACCGAGAAAAATATATGGTAATAAAAATAATTCTTGATAGAAGATGATATTTTCCAATACAATTATATTTTCACGTTCATCACCTTAAATAAGAGTGACAAACAATCTCTATTTATTGAAGCTATTCTACAGCTTCTGTGTACATGTGAATACTTGCAAAGGAAGGTCGTGGAATAATCAAGTTAGCTTGAAACCGATATGCGGTTGACTCGTAAGTATAGATAAGTAATAGTATACATCCGCATACAGACGATATTCCTCGAGTGACATTATATACATAAGCATTACGCATACATCAATTGGCATCAATGTATCATACTTGAACAGCATATAATGTATTTTTAGCGCGTGTGTCGATCAAACATTAAAAATATGCCTAACAACATGTTATTTCATTACTATGTAGGAAGTCTAATTAATAAATAATCTTTGTGAGAGAGTGTTTTAGACAGTCAGTTTTTATAATAACACAATTTTGAAAAATAACCAGACTTTATTGAACGTCTAAAATTTAAAATTCTACTTAGTAACTTTCAAAAACACTAATAACAAAGTTTCTGCGTTGGTTTATATTTTGCCAAACTGTAAATGTTTTCTTTGTTATGAGTCTGTTGATAGCTGAGCAAGTAAATGTCTCATAACAATCGCGTAATTGACTTTTAAAGTCTAGAAAATGCGTTTTTGAGCAAAATACTATACAAATCTTAGAAATCTAACATTTTTGCAATGTGAAATTGACACTTTTTAAAGAATAAACTATGAGAGACTTTTTTATACACGAAACTTCAATAAAAAGTGAAGATATCTTTAACAAAGCTAATGTACTAACTATGAAAAATCTAGTAAAAATATTGATGATTATGTACGTATTGATCACTAGCCTATTGGACCTTCGAACATATTGGAGAAAGTCTCGGCAATTCACATAAACATTCGTGTTTCTCGCTCTAATGAATAATTATATCCAATTTATATTTTTTATGTATGTATGAAGCTTCAATGAATGAACCATAAATCGTATATATATATACATTAACTGTTTGGCAGTGATACGACGCTATATCACGTCTGACGTAGACACGTACTTGTGACTTGAAGAAACTTTGAGAGTAGTTGTACTCCACAAGGAATAAAGTATGTTTGATTTTATCAAACACAGCATAAGTGCACACATAGAAAATTCGTAACCGACATGAATTGTTTTTGTTACAAAATGCATAGATCTTTGGAATTTGGGTGAAAATTTTGCATGATCATTGATACACCAAAGAATTTTGTCAAAATTTGTCAATGCCATCAAAATCTTGCATAGACAAAAAATACCTGAGAATAAACTCTACACAAAGTAAGAAAACAATTGAATTTTAGTAAGAAATCAAAATTGTTATACAATTTATTGCAAGAAAAATTCTATAAAAAATTATACGATTTGCTTAGAATTTTAAGCTAGTTTTAAGATTTTTAGTAAATATTAGAATATCTACTGCTACAAAATCGAAGTTTTATATGTACTACACTCGTACCATTAAAACTGCACAGACAAGCTAAGATATTCCTGAAGCTTAAAATAGTATGATGTACGGAGTGGAGAATAAATATGGAAACCCCTGAAAATCTCGCAGAATAAGTGAGGGAAAAATATCAAAAACCTCATATCTGACACATTTTTTTGCGGGGAATCCAATGGTGACCTTTGATTTGACCTTTTAACATAACCTCTAAGCTACAGCGAACCAAGACTCGATTTTTCAAATGAAAACTCCCATTTTTTATTGTAGGTTTGAAAAAAGAGCAGAAAATTTCACGTTGTAACATGTATTTTGCTTTTTTTCAAGTTCATTTGAAGAGCTCTACAGACTCAAATAAAATCCCTATTTAACCTATAGTTAAACTTTTTTTCTAACTGTAGCGCCCCCAAAATGACCTTAAATAAAAAAAAATACATAATTTAACGTAAAATTTTTCACTCTTTTCAAATCTGCAATAAAAAATGGGGGTTTCCATTTGAAAAATCGAGTTCTGGTTCGCTGTAGCTTAGAGGTTATGTTCAAGGTCAAATTCAAGGTCACTATTGGATTCCCCGCGAAAAATGAGGTTTTTAATTTTTTCCCCCACTTATTCTGAGAGATTTCCAGGGGTTTCCATATTTATTTCCCACGCTGTATTATACTCTTAAGGCCAGAGACACGTCTATGACTAAATTAATATGAAAATTGATTTTCATTCGACAATGGAGAAAAAACTTGGCAAAATGCTGAATTGTGATAATAACGAGACATTCGTGTTCAAAGTTGATTATTACTATTATAATTCTAGTATTTTTTAAAGGTTTGTAGAGGGCTTGAAATCCAAAATCATTTTTCAAAATTTTATTCAATTTTTTTTAAAGATGCTTCAAGTGTTTTTCTAGTACACAGTTTTATCGCACTTTTTGTAGATGCGTTTAATTTTAATATTCGAATGTTTTTTCGGACGAATTGTCTAGGGCTTGATGATAAATTTCACAAAAAATAAAATAAATTGCGTTCGAGCATTTTTACACTGTGACTATTGGTTTAACCAGCTTTTTTCAATGCTGTGTCTGTAAACACTCATGTGTTCAGGAAGTGCCCACAACTGGACAATGTAGTTTATTGATGTGCAATATTTCTATTTGAATATTGGATATTATTAAACTCACTATTCACAGAACGATGTCAAGATTTATGTAGAAAATTTGGAATTAAAAATTTGCAATTAAGTGGCCTATCTCTCAGTACTTCAGATCATCAGAATAACGATCAAGTGCTCATAGAATGTTAATTCCCTTAATATGTTTCTTTATGTAGAGTCATTATATTCGTCGCTCAAACTTTTTCTAAGAAGTCATTGTGTACTGGCTATAATTGGGTTAGTAAATAGAAGCACAAAAACAACACCTACGCCAGCATGCATTGCAGTTGCCAAGTACTATTAACATAACTATGTTATATGTATTTAGAATTATTAATATGGAGATAAATATTTTTTTTCATAGATTCTCTAATGTCATTAGTTATTATTTGACTTTCCAATGTCTCCAAAATTGATAAAAACTTAAAATTGGAATATTTTAGGCGATAAAATGTAAGCAAATTAAAACATTACTTTTTAAGCTTGCAGTTATCGAAATTACGAATATTTGTACATACAGTCGATGTAAGAATCGATATAGGGCTGCATTCTGTTGACTATTCAGCATTTTTAAAACCATTTCGCTATTGTTATGATTAAAACTACTCACGATTTTCGTTAATTCAATTTAAAATAAAAATTAATAGTAACGTTTGAGTTATTGTGATGTAAGCTAGTCCGTACACTAATATAACACTTATTTATACACAAAAATCAACAATTATCTAAGCAAAAGTGACTATGAAACAAGAGACGAATCTTCTTAGTTACTGGACAAGTAGGGGGAATGCGACGGTCAGTAAATCGAAAATAGGTCCAGGTACAACGTCTGCGATCAAGCTAGCGTCTACGAAGTGTAAAGCTGCAGCTATTTATACAAATGTAATCTTAGGCGCAAGCGCTAAGCAAAATTTAAGCTCATCCAAATTCTCCCGCGCAATACAGTGTTCAAAAAGTAAAATATTTCAAACAAATCTTCGAGTTCTTTCATATTTTTTTTAATTAAAGGGATCGAATAGTGTTTCGAGATGAAATTCAGAAGTAGGCATATTAATCAAAATAGTTAAAATTTTCTTTTTAGAGTAATAAAATATGTTCATATTACATTTGATTGACTTGATGAAAAAAATGTTTACCTAGCTCAAAAATCCCAATTATGTTACTTTTTTCATAATACCAAATATTGTGATTGGATTTACTTGCCACGCGATTCTGCTAAAAGTTCTTTATTAATTTTATCTATGGGGTCTCAAAATCTTCAAAGAAGTACTCTCTTTCACGTTTTTAAGCGGAGCAACATTTGAAAAAATATTTTTAATTTCTTTTTCAAGTGCTTATTTCGTTTATAAATTATTGATTTTCTCACAATTTGAAGTGTACATTAAATTTTATGCAATCTTTCTAAATTCTGCTCCACCTAAATAGAAGAGGGTACTTTTCTAAAAATTTCAAGACCCCGTAGATCAAAAAGGATGAAAAACTCACGGCAGAATCACAAATAAATTCAATCGCAATATTTATTGTTATGAAAAAGGTAACATAATTGGGATTTTTGATCTAGGGCATGAGTTTTTATAGTCAATCAGGTGTAGAATGAACATATTTTATTATCATAAAAAATTCTAACTATATTAACTTATATAACCATTTTTTAATTACAGTTCGAAATACCAGTCTATCCGCTTGAAGGTAAAAAATTAGATGAATCCATAATAGTCGGAATAATGATAATGATACGACTTTTATTAGAGTTAAAATAGTATAATTCTCAACGGGTGCACATATGGATTTTTAGCAAAACGAAGGATTATAGCACGAGTCGAAGGCGAGTGCTATAAAGAGTAAAAGGAGGCATAAACGTGAACTTGGCACAGTGCTATAAAATTAGGTATGGTACTAGAGCCGTAGGGGGCACTTTGTAACACAGCTACTAGAACCCTCAATTCGGGCGTACCCTAGAAGACCCTAGGTAGAACCCTAAATCACAGCGTGTTATGATGTGTTCCTCGTAGTACTTGTATCATCCAGTACTATAATTATTTAGTCTAACGTGTATGAATTTCTGAATTCGTATTGACTTTTTGAAACGATCTTGATTTTTTAAATAAAAAATTCCGGACTCAATATTTTTTAGTTATTTGAATTAACAAAAGCTTTTAACCTACCTCGTTCAACTTCAGCATTAAAGTGAATGGTCCTGAGTCTCAATTCTTCATTTTCATATATCATGCATCTTGACGATTTTTTATCGAGCTTACGATTTGGTTTGATACTAATATCACGACGTCTAGCCCGTAACATACCAGGAGCCATGCCCACGCCCGTACCTGTTATCATCTTGCTGAGCTCGTAGAAAGAGTCTATTTGAGACGGATAATCAGTAGGATCTAGTTGTTTCCTGACAACTCACAAGCACTCCGAGTTCGACGAATTTCTTAACGTAGACTTCGCATATACACAAATAATACCGAGTTGTTGGTTAACTTTTGGTTCTGTACTAGCTGAGCTTTTTGATATTCTGAAATTTATACAATTTACAGTTATTATTGAGCCGATTGAATTGATAATTCTGTGAAGGATAATTATATTATAAATAAATAATTCAATAATGCAGATTTCATATGATATTCACAATTTTAAAAATACTTTGAAATAGTTCAAGTTATATTTACCAAGTTATATTGTAAAAAAATTACAAGTAGATCATCATTAACCATGTTCGATGTGCTAGATTTTAAAAGTTCAATTTACGTAATTTCGTGTAGAGCATCTTTGTTAGAGTGTATCCTTGTGGACAGAACAAAGCAATGAAGGTGTCGTTTACGTTATAAGAACTTATGCAATTGATTATTCGAACGCAGTTGTCTGTATGGGTTTAAAATAAACAAGTGTTAGTTTATAATGCAATGCGAATGATACATATTAAATTTAAATATATTTACAATTAAATCATTTTCGTGAATCGTTTTATTCACTTCTTAATTTTTTTGTCATTATTTGCAAAATTTAAAATAAAACTTATAAAAATAATATGAATAATTTGAAAACGAATTTGTATTTTAAAATTTTAGAGAGAAATTGGTTTGAATTATTTACCAAGTGCATGATTATTTTCAAATATTCATTTAGAAATACGAACTAAGAAAATTCGAGTAGCTTGCGAAAGGAAAATAATTGTTTGACTTAGACCTAAATTTTTTTTTGATCAGTAACTCACTAAGATTAATGACAGATATATTATAATTGTAATCCTCTGTCAAAATGTTATTGAAGGTACTAAGGCAACCAATGATAAATGATTGAGATTTGAAATTTCGAACTGCATTTTATAGACGTACGATCAATTCTCAAAGGGTCTGAAATGCATAATAACTAGGAGTCTTAATTGCTTTATATCAAAGTAAATGTAGTACTTGCGTACAATTTGTTAATTCTGCTTGATGTGTACAAATCAACAAGTTAAAATTTATCAGTCTGTTACTATATGTTTTTTACAGTTGCTGCGGCTTTTTGATGAAATCCTAAAAAATGTTTTAAAAAAAATTATTAGGGTTTTTCTGAAAAATACTTATAAGCGTAAATCATCCTCAACATTTAAGCGTTAAGAATATAACGAACATATAATGAACGTTTTCAAAAACGTTTTTCGGAATTTGACGAACGACATTATTCTTGACATTTAGACATGATTTTTTCAAGAGGTTTCAGATTGTGTACACGTTTCGCGTAACTAATTTTCATGCTTTCATGAATATCACATCAGAGTTACTTTATCATAACACAATAACTATTAAAAAATGAAAATTCTTCTTTTCACGTCTTTGTACATACTTGGTTTACGTCTATTTTTTGGTTTTATCATGGTTGCTGGGATGTTATCCTACATTATATTTTGAAATAAATAGGGTATCTTATATTTTTAAAGTTTCAGAGATGTCGTTATAAAAATGTGCAGTTGTGTGAGCGTGTTTAGATTGGTTACTGATCTAAAAATGTTGAGCCTAATTCAAGATTATGCCACAAAAATGGAAACAATCACAGTATGATGCAATAATAAAAAATGATATCATTGACATGAGTGCCTAAATGAAGTTTCACAGGTCTTATACCGTAAGAAAATTTAAACTAATTAAAAACTAATTTCTCTCTGAAAGAAATAAATTTTTTCTAGTAGTTGATTTTAAACTCACGTGTAAGGATAAACTGTTTCTTTTTTTATTCTTGGTTGAGTAGATTCTAAATAACTTGACTTGATGAACAGAATTTTACGTCATAATGCATGATTAATACTTATACATGTTTATTTCTACTTTAACTTTGATGAAGACCTTTGTAGGTTTTATTTTTCAAATGCAACATATCCAATACAATCTATACAATGGGTACTTCAATACTAAGTTTTGTATCACAATTTTTAAAATTTATGCGATTTGAACGCAAAAATAAACAACAAAATGACCTAAATGCCATAAAATTTTTACAATCATGTAAGGCAAAGTTTTTTAAAGTTTATAAACACTTGACTTACTTATGGCTAACAATAATAGTAAGCTTACGATAGTAACATTGATAAAAATCTACATTATATACATCAATAAAGAAATAAATTTAACATCTAAACATCATGATAATGATGTAATCGAATGTATTTGTATATTCTGTGACTTGTTTTATAGCTTTTGAATATCAGCTTATTTTAGAATGGTATAAACTTCATAGCTTGTATTCATCTTTGCTCGTTTTATTAATTTTGTTTCATCTGGATTTTTTGTTGTTTGTTTGTCTTTTGTTATTTGACCTTTGTGCTTCTACAAGAGAGATTTTTTCTCATTAAAACCAGAATGTGGCTACAAGTAATGAATTCTTATTTTACATTTTTCTCAAACATCAATGCATAAAACTTCTGTGCATTTCCGAAATTTGGCGAATTAATTTCATCATACACAAGAAACATATAATTGCTATTTTTAAAAACCCTTCATAATTGTGAATATTTTTACTATGTATTTTTTCAAGCAATTTTATTTTAAAATATTTAAAGATTCTTATGGTACTACAAAACAAGTAGCAACTTAGTCTATTTATTTCGACGTTTTTTTAATCTTTTCTAAAATGATTTTGTTCAAAAAATTTCTCAATTTTATGTCCCGTTAAGTTGAAACAATTTAATTTGGCTTTGAAAATTCAAAAAAATCTATTATCAACTGGTATCAATTTATATATTTTTTTGTTCACAACACATTCTGAAATACCGTTGTGCAAACATATATAATATCAAGTTTCCACATCTTTGAACAAAATGTGTAACCTCATAGTTTTCCTTGATGATTGAGGAAAGCAACAGTTTTGTATTTTCCCTTCTCATAAAGCAGTGCGGACTATTTGCCAGGTACCGCAATAAGATAACTAAAAATAAAATTAATTAATAAAAAATAAAATTAAAATTAATTTGTATTAATTTTGTTAAAAACAAATTCAATAGAAGTAAAATATTTATATTCTTGTTAAACTGACCAAAAGTCGAACTTTTTTTCAATCTGTTTTAACATCAGCTGTGAACTTAGGTATCTTTTACTTGTGGTAGAAATTTATAAAAAGATATTAAATTTGAATATAAAATTTCATTTACCTTGCTTATGTGAGGATATTTTGCGAGCTTTAGAAAATTTTATGCTACATCTTCTAATTCGTAATGACGAGAATACAGAAATTCCATTTGTATTTTGCTGACATGTATGTAGCAGAAGATGTTAAAAAAATATTATTCCTTTCCGCAAGCAGTGACATATCTGTAAAAAAAAACGATTTTCTTTTAAATATAAAATTATATGTGAACAAATTTAAATGAATTCAGATTTTAGTATATAAGCTAATTAATTCAATCACATTTGTATTAACTGAATTTTAACATGAAGGAAAGCACATTTTTTGTAGAATATTTAGACGATGTAGAGTATTTATTTTTACTACAGAAATGTATTGAATCATCGCGAACTATTTAGTATAATTCTAAAAGTATCATTCGTTGTGTATTATCTTAGAGTTCTACTTTCTCTATTGAGCTTTAAAAATAAACCGACGATAAAATCGTTCTCGATCGCAAAACAGCTATTCATCAAAGCATAATAAATTTTTCCATCGCGTTGCAAAATTCCTCAATGATCTCGAAAAAATTGTGGCAAAACTTTATATCAATAACAGCGATGCACTAACGTTTTCGATGGTTACAGTGTCTAGAAGTTGATTTGATAGTTACTGATGTGTCATAAAGGATGTATTAGCAAAGCCTACAAAGTTTCAATATAAGAGACAATTGCATCATTTTGGTAGACTGGTTCTGAATTAAAATATTCCTACATACGAAAAATATTATACACAAAAAAATTCATGTGCAAATAGCGATAATGAGTGACTGTCTATAAGCATAAGTTTGTTGAATTATTCAATAACAAAAACGCATTGCATTCTCAAACTTTTATCGGACAAGCGTGTTGATCATCTATTCTACTTTTTAGTGATTCTAAGCTTTAGACTTGCGAGATTTTGTAGTTTGCCTTTAAGAGATATTCAAAAAATGAAAAAAATTAGATTTTAAACGACGTATATATAAGCGTATCAAGACATTCATAGTTACCGAATGCTGGATCTGCACAAATATTCTAAAATTAAAAATAAATCATACAGCAAGAAAAACTTCAAATATAATCATGCGCAGTAATTCGCCGATTAAAAAAAATTAAATCTATCCGTCTGAAACTCAATTGGAATTCGACTATCCGCGAAAAAAGACATCAACGTTATAACCACCCCTTGGAAGCGCTACTAATGCTCTCATGTGAACACGGAGCAAACTGGAATACTGCCTATAATCTCGCTAAAAACGAGATGAATTGAGAAAAAAACATACGAGTATCTGTAGGTATCTACCCTCTCTTTACACCGTTTCAAATTGGCAATCGCAGCGATACGCGCAGACATATTCACAAAGGCACAGTCGATTTTCGTTTCCCCCACGTTGAAAACGATGTGTGCGCGTGTATGTGTATGTGTGTGAGAGCATTAATTTCCAACGCATTGTCCTCTCATCGCATCGCTCTCGTGTACCGGCTCATACGTCTCTCATGCATACATATAGACAGTCTTTTACGCTCTTCGAAATAAGGGGTTTAGGTGAAATAATTCACACACTCACGTGTGAATTTATAGTGGATGTATGTATAGCAGCATATAGGGATGCTGCGTCGAAAGCACACAAGTTGTCTCGTGTATATGCATGCGGCGCGAGAATATAACGTCTAGCCGCGACGAACGCGTCACGTTTCTGATAGACTCAGAGAGGTGGATATACGAGTAACAACACGAACGTGACCGCGTGCCAACTAATTTTTGGAACAAACATTACTCTGCAAGAGAGCGAGCTTAATGACTCGACGCGCGCGTTCAGCTTTAATACCTTGGCGAGCAAAAGTTCCAAGTTTCCTTCTAAACTGAAGGATGTGCGTCTCTGACGCGGCTCGCCTGCCTGTGCTTTCGTACATATACACATTTACACTTTTCTTCGTCGTTAACTAAACTGGGAAAGTTTGGTCTCTCTCTCTCTAAATCGTTATTTTTGGAGGTGCACTGCTAGAGAGGATATGCATTAATGATTCCTAGTCACTTTGAATCAGAAAAGCATAAAATATTTTTAAGTTCATGCATTGTTTCCATTAAATTGATCAATTGATAAGTCAAATTTGTGTTAAAATTAATTCAAATGATTGTAACCGAGTTTGATTGTCGATTGAGATGAAGGCTTTCAACGAAAGTATAAAATGAATCTTTCAATTGAGAACCTTTATACTGATGCTTAATTTTTACTATACTCAAAATTTAATTAACAATTTTTCTGCTTTCAGGTAAGTTTTTTGGTCTGCACCGCTACACGCACTTTCTTAGAGGTAGGTAAGTAAGGGGTAGCTTAGCAAGGAAGGCCACCAAAACAGAAAAAAACTTTTAAAAAACCGAAAAACTTTTTACTTCATAAAACATCATCTTGACGAGGGAAAAGTTTAGTCTGCTGTATCATTCGCAAAGAAAATCGATCGGCGGAATATAGAGCAAGAGAGAAAGAGATAGAGCGAAAGAGAAGAGAAACTCGATCGTCACCGCAAAAACTCATGTAACAGCATTAAAGAACTCAAGTATTAGTTTGGTAAGTCTCGTCCGTATATAATACAATTTTGGCTTGAAAAGATTCGTACGTTAATTGCGCGACATCGAACAACGTCCAGGGAGTTTTGAAAGCTTCGTGCAAATCCCGAGTTCTCGAGTTGGTGAATTATAACTGGTCTTTATCTTGACTCGCGAACTTGTGCTGATCGTCTTCGAAGCCCTGTAACAATGATGTATCATTAACTGCACGATTGAATTTTCCAATGCTTGCCTAGTTGTTTAAGTATATTGAATGAATATAACATAGAGGATATCACCTGATTAGGTGCGGCTAACTGGAACTATGAACTTTCTGAACGAAATGAGAGGGTGGTTAAGAGTCGTAGAGGAATAGGAGAGAGAGAGTGAGAGAGAGAGAGAGAGAGCAAGCGAGATTTGCATATAAATGAACGGACCCCAGATTTTAATAAAGAGCCTTTCACTGTGTTGGATCGTGAAGTGGACGATTATGTTATGTAAAACTTTTGTCAGAAATTCAATCTAGTGGTGTGTCTATAGCGAAATGGTTATTTTCCATGCGCTACAGTTTCTATACTTTATTTACCCGCTGCAGATTATTTGATTAATTTCTCATTATAGTTTAATTATTATTTATAACTCTAGATATTTCACGAAAGATTAAATTTTCTCATGGAAAGTTTCAACAAATTTTCGTCTTTGTACTGCAGCTTTTGATTTGATATATTTTTTCAATCGCGAGTATTCGTTTAAAACTGGCGTTAGAAATTGATCATTTTTAAATGCTTTAAAATAATATAAAAATATTATTTATATATTAATTTGCAAAAATCAATTGGAAGTAAATACAATTATGCGAAGTAAAATATTAAATTGAAAATTCGCACTGTTGGGTCACGCCGCAAATTTTCAGAAACGATTGGAATCACTTGAACTCATAGATCCAAGCACGTTTAGTTTCACTAAAATATCTAGTGTAAGCTTTTATTGCTATATTTGCATCAAGTTCTATATTCATTCATCACGTATCATCAATTATATTATGTCATTTATTATTTTTAATTTGAATTTTCAAAATTTGTCTGCTCCAAAAATAAATAATAGTAAATCACCTTTAGCTTTTTGCAAACGGGTATGGGAAATAGCATCGATTTCGCCAGCAAAAATTAGCCAGTCGAAATAACATAGAGTTGAGTTAGATAGCGGTGCTGTGAAAAGTATACGGGGATAATTAAACGGTTGAAATTGGTGAGCATCGGCAGAAGCGCGCCAGACATGCGTCGCGCAGTAAA